GGCTCTTGTGCTCGGTGGCCATTCCCATCATGTTAACTGAAGAAATAAATGACGGATGAGTGTATTAATATAGGTCACACTCATCTAGGATTTCCCACGTATTTCCTCATTGGATCCTCAGAGCGACCCTATGAGGCAGGTACTGGTGTCACCCTCTTTTTAAAGATGGGGAAACTGAGGCTCAGAGGGGTTGAGGCACTTGCCAGAGCCCCACAGCTGGCAGGCGGAGGAGCCCAGAGCTGGTCCTGGGAGTTGGGGCTCAGAATCCTCTGCTGTTCACAGAGAGACAATTCCGCGCACCGAATGTCATCACACGTCCTGTTTTGTGGCTGAGAAATGGGCCTCTCTGAGGGGTAATTGTAAGAAGTTCTCCTTTCCAGTTCATGAGTGTCCCGATCCTGTCCCAGGAGAAGCTGCTGAAGCCGGCAGTGCTGATGCTGGAGAAGGGCGTGGACCAGGATGAGGCCTTGCGGGTGCTTTCCCCGCGCGCCCTCAGCAACATGGCCCCTGGTGCCCCCAAGAAGGTCTGGGGGGCCGATGCCGGTGTGTCCTGGGGAGCCAGGCTCGGGCTGATGGCTCCCGTGCCCCCCAGGGGAAGCAGTACCGGAAGCTTTTACTGGAGAAGTGCCCATGAGCACCAGCGTGACCTCCGAGGGCATGGAGACCCTGGCCAAGGTCCCGGCTGAGCTGCGGGAAGGGGACGTGGGGTCCGACTTCCATGCCATCTCCGAGCAGTGCAGAGCCTTCTTTGACCACGTGAGTCCGCACTGGAGCCTTGCTCAGCCCTGGCCCTCGTGGGGGCCCCTCAGAAATGGCTGCTGAGTGGACGAGTGGCCCCTTCTATCTAATCCCCTAAAGAAGAGACGCACCCTGGAACAAAAAGTGGTACAAGGTCTGACTTGTTGCTGACGTTTCGATTGGCTGATCATGACATCCGATAAAAAATAAATGATCTTGTCCTAGGGCCCATGGGACGCTTCTCCCCGATTTTAACTCCCTGCAGCCACAAATGCTCTTTGGACAGCTGTGGCATGCGAGATGGGGACTCCGCTAGGCGGCGGTGGGCAATCAGATCCAGCGCAGCCCTCATCTAGGGAAGAGAAGGTCGCAAACGCCAGAATAACGCCCAGTCCCGAGAGCCCTGCAAGAGAGACTCCATCCTGATGGAATGACCCAGAAAGCTTCGCAGGGCCCGAGGCATTTAAGAGGGTCCACCTCTTAATGGCTGTGGTTTTGTTGGGCTTCCTGCTTCCCAAGTTTCAGAAATTGTTTGTCCACCTCCGCTGCAGGAGAGCGAGCTACTGCGTTTAAAAGCCTTCGTCCTCTTCGGGCAGCTGGCACAGGTGGTCAGGATTTCCAAGAAGTATTTCTTCAAAGAGTAAGTGAAGAAAGCCTGGGTCCCCCTCATGCTGCACTGCCAGGACCCCTGCTCCGATGCAGCCCAGGTGAGACACACCTGGGCTTTGTGTATAAAGTCCAGGGCCCGCTGTCCCCAAAAGGAACACACGCTTTGGGGCTGCCAGCCCGGCTAGCTGGGGTGTCCCCTTCCTCGCTCAATCTTCCCGAGACCCCAAAGGCCATGATCTGCCGGTTCCTCGCGCCAGGCTGGGAAAGGCACCAGTCGAGATGACCCGCAAACCGGCTTATTGAGGAAGCTGGGCCCCAGGGGGGGGAAGCATAGTGGAGTTTCCTTCTTTAGGGGCCTTCATCAACCTCCCTTTCTTCTACCAGATTCTATAAGTTGCCGTCCCTTTTGGGAATTATGACTTGGTCAAGTTTAACACTCCCCTTAAATCTGTCCTCTCTGGCTCCCTGTGGGGCAGGCTCGTGCTGAGGTTGCCGGGAGGACTGGAGGGTGCCTGGCTTTCCCACCACTTTTCTCCCCCTTCTCCGAGCCCCGGCTGCTCTGTTGCTTTGGGGTGGGGGGAGGTCCACACCCCCTCGCTTAACTGCCGCCTCTCAGGCTAATACTGGCTGCCTGGGGACACACGTGTACGGAGCCTCTCGCCCCCCGTGCCACCCATGACCCTGACCTCTGTCTTCCCTGCTCCCTATCTCCGTCTGTGGACTGGGGAGGGCATGGTGGCTGAGATTAGGGGTGGTCCTGCCGCCCCTCAGGAGCCGTGGGGATACAGCTGGCCCCAAACGAGACGTCCTCAACAGAGCGTGTTCAACTACTGTCTTAACCCCAGTTCTGGGGCCACAAGCTTAGTCCCCTCAGTCTTGCTGCTGAGAGCTGAGGCTTCCACGTAGGGGTGGGGATCGAGGTAGGAAGTGACAGCACACCCAGAAAGGTGACCGAGAGGGTTTAATGAAGGGGCCACAGAGAGGAGAGACCAACACGGCTTGGGGCCCCAGTGGGTGCTGCCCGTCCTACTCCAGGGGGAATAGACACCCCAGCCTCCCTCCTGGCCCTCCAATCAGCATCTTCCCGTGGCCTAACCCCACCGGAGGCCGGAGACGGGGGGGGGCCTGGTTGCTGCAGGGCACAGGGACAGGCAGAACCGGTGGAGGGCCTCTGGGGGGATGAGAGAGCTCACTCCCATCCTGGCAATCACAGCCAGGCCCCTGGCCCCCAGTCTCCTGGAGGGGCAGGTCCCCGGCGGGGCTTCTGAGGGCACCAATGTGCTGGCTAATGGCTGAGGGGCTGAGTGTGGCTGCACCTGTTCCCAAGGGGGTTTTAGTAACTATGCACACAGGCGTGACATGGGCTGGTGGGCTTGGGTCCCAGGCATCCTCCCAGGGCCCACCAGCCTGCCCTTCTTTGGCTCTCTGAAGCTTTTGGGGGCCGCCCTCGAGTTTACTGGCGGAACGCCAGTCCTGGCAGCCCCACCCCTTGTGTGACCCCACCCTGGGTCTGCCTGACATCTCCCCTGCTGTCCTGTCCTGTGTCCCTCTAGGCCTGTGTGGCTACCATGTTTCAGTGTGTGCACTTCTGGGGCTGGAAGGCCCTGGAGAGCTCCTCGGACCAAAGTGATGCCATTGCCCCCAAGGACATGACCAGTTTCCGATAACCCTGTGCTCTGTCTTGGTGAGGAAGCTGAGGGGGGATGGCCCCATGGGAGGTGGCCCCCGGGGGCTTGGGGCTTCATCCTGTGACCTTGCGTTCACCTTCTGGACGTGAGGTGTTGAGACCAGCTCTGTCCAGCAGAAAGAGAATGCAAACCACATACATACCCATTTTTAAGATTTCTGTTGAAAAATGTGAAAAGAGGTGAAACCAAATTTAATAGTAGATTTTATTTAACCCAGTAGATCCAAATCATCATAATTTCAACATGCAATCAATATAAAATTATAAATGTCATAGTTTACCTTTTTGGGGTAGTGTCTTCAATATCCAGGAGGCACTTTACACTTAATTCAGACTAGCCACATTTCAGGTGCTCAAGGACCAGGTGTGGTCAGTGGCTACCATATTGGACAGTGCAGGTTGTGGGCAAATGTAATGTCTCTGGGCCAGAGAAGAATAACTGAAGACTGAAGGTCCTTAAGTTGCTCAGCTACTAATCTGCTGTGTGACTTTGATATGTGCACTTGCCCTCTCTGGGCAGACCCTTCAGCCTCAGACAGATGGGACTGCTCTTTGTGAGCAGCTAGTCTGCAGGATCTCATCCTCCACGGCTCTGGGTGCCACTTGTTTTTTGCAGACTCAGAGAAAGCCTGTTGTTCTCTATAGCTTCTTGCTAGAAACAAGGACCTATGTTAAAAGTAACTTGTCAAGGATCAGAATCGCTGCATGTAACCTGGCAGTTGAGCAGGCAAGTGTTTCCTGATGCAGGAGGGAACTTGAAGGCCATCAGGTCAGACCCAGACCTGGAGCAGGGGTACAGGTGTTGGGACCTGGGTTCAGGTGGAAGTCCCTGTCTGTGTGTCCCAAGGAGCTTCCTACATGCCCTATTCTCAACTAAGCATCCTCAACTAAACCCTCAACAGGGACCCTCATAAGGTGAAACCAAATCTCTCACTGACCTAATATTCGTGTGAGGAACATTTCCTGGCTATCATTTCAGGAATCATTATGAAGCAGATGTCTGCACGTTACCTGAAAAAGCTGGACTTCCCTACGTTACGGAATTGTAAGTAACGGAGACTCAAGTATGAGTCAAAAATGAGTCCACTGAGCTCATTTGGGAGCTTAGGGAAACCGCCTGAGGGGAGAGGCAGCTGACCCTGGTTGTCTTTGGGGGTAGGGGTGTAGCCAGGGCACAGAGAGGTGGATGAACGGGACGTGCGGTGGGCTTTCCAGCAAGACAGCTCTGAGGGCTCCCTGTGCTCTCTGCCCACTCCCTGCCACACACATTGATGAAATAACTCGCCCTGATTCCTTTGTCTGATTCACACAGCAGTTGGTCCTGTGGGTGGTCTTTCTGTCCCTGTTGATGTAACGGAAGCCCCCAGAGATGGGAGATGTGTGTGGAGACATGGCTGCACCTGCCACCTTCTGAATTCACACACAGGGGGGTAAAGTCCACAGCCCCTGTGAGCCCCTCGCCCCGCAGTCAGTTCCCCGGGCAGGGCTTTCATCAGCACACACTGCCCAGGGCAGGCAGAAGGTGTGGGCCTGGCCTCGAGGGTCCCTATCCTCTCCTGATTAAGTTCGCTCTCAGCTCTCCAGGAGCTACAGCTGGACTCGGATCCTGGGGTCCGGAGGGCATCCCTGGAGACTCTCAAAATCTTGGATACCTGTAGTCATCACTGGCTTTTGGCTTCACCCTAAGGAATTTCCTAGGTGGTCTGAATACAGAATGTACCTGCCTCTCCCCAGCGTGCCAACCCCACCACGGCGATGCAAACCACTTTTAATTTAGTTTGTAAGAAAAGCATTGTTCTTAAATAATCAGTGTCCCTTTCTTTCCTCCCATTGAAATAAACCTCCCTTGCCATTTGGAGAGCAGATTCCTGACTGTAAGGTGATGTCGCCGCAGAGCCAAGACAGTGGAACAAAGGGCAACTTCACTCCCGCTTCCCCTGAGTGTGTGTACGTCCGGCAGCTCCTCTCAGCCCAGAGGATCTGGAGCCCCCTTTGTGTCTTCACCACGTTTCAGTTCCACAGTTCCACCCATGCGGATGGTGTGTCCATTGCCAGGCACTGTGCTGGGGTAACCAGAGGAGCCCAGCTGCTGTCTGGACTCTGCTTCCAGGGGCCCCGCTCTTAAACGGACAGGAGGCATCTACCAGTGACCAAGATATGCATCAGGGTGAGGGACGGTGGCCGCCAGTGGGGGCAGTGCTGGTGCCCGTGCAGCGCACAGGGAGTGTTCACAGCCACGAGGTAATCCGGGGGGTTTCAGAGAGGAAGTGACACCACACCCTCTACCCTCACCATTTCCACATCAGGGCCTGCTGGACCAGGATGGGGAGGGACCCAGCAAGGCCTGGAGCAGAGCCCAGCAGAGGGTCAAGAAGGAGGAATTATCTCCAAGCCCAAGAAACAAGCAGGGGGAGTGTGTGTGTGTGGCGGAGAGCAGGGAAACTTCCGATGCTCAGGCCGTCCGCAGAACAGTCTCTGGTTGTCCCCAGAGCAGGTGAAGGTGGGATTTCCAAACCATTCTCACTGCAACTGCCCAAGGCAGTCACCACCCTGGGCACCATGGGCGGAGGTGCTGCTGAGCAGTCCCGGAAATCAATCTGCACCAGAGGCTTCCGGGAAGCGTGCTCTCACACTGTTTGGCGGCTCCCGTGGAATAGACAGTGAAGTTATTTCCTGCCAAGTGATGAAGATCGTTGCTGCCGGAAGACTTGAGTCCCACTGACACAGTTGAAAGGGATGTGCCCTTCGGTACAGGTCCCGGGGGAAGCCATACAATGGTAAAATCAGGTCTCTGATCAATTCCCTTAATGCCCCTGCGAAACATTTCCAGATGGTTTATAGACCCAAACTCAGAAAGCAAAAATTTAAGACAACATAGTATTGTCTTAAACCTACCCTAGGTTTTCCTTTAAAAGTAATAGAAGCCAGCAAAAATAAAACTTTTCTATGTTAAAATATATCTTCTGTACGATAAAATATCATAAAGTTAAATAAGTCGCAGATGGAAAGTTACTTGCAATTTATATAAAACTGGATTGATTCATGTAATTGGATTGGCATACAAAATATGCCCAAATCAGTAATACAGCAAATTAAAAAGCAGTGTCATGAGAGAGTGCTTGAAAAGTCAGCCCCCCCAGGAAGGCATGCAAACTGCAATGCTGTGCATTTCACACCCACAACAGTGACGCTGGCTAGTGGCAGCAGTGTGGGGAAATGGGACCTTTTATTATCGCTGGATGGAGTGCAAATGGGATTAGGCATTTGGGAGAGGACTTTGGCAATAATTATGGAAGTTGAAGACATGACCAAGTCACCTCTGGGTGGGGCTGCAGGCAGATCTGCACATGTGCACAAGGATGGTGGCTGAAGAGTATTCTTAGCAGCAAACACCCAGTGGGACAGTGGGACACACCAGCTACCTAAGGAACTCTACAATGAGACCCATGTTCATTAATCAGCTCCTGTCAAATGCAAACACCTCTTGGTGAGACAAAGTTGCACAGTGCATACAGCCCCGAGTTATTTATGTGAAAGTTAAACACATACCATTCTGTATAGTTAATGGGGTCCTTTATTGGCAGATCCTATAAATTGGCTGAGAGGATCTAGCCAACTTCCTCTAGGCCCTTCTGCCACACCTTCCTCCCCTAGACGATAGAGCATCACAATCTGTTTTCCAGCCTCTGGCAGCTAGGCCTGGCCAGTGAGACTTCACACGACTGCTAGGTATGGAGGGCGGGGGAGGGAGGCCAGGCACAAGCAGTTTTGGGCAAGGTTGATAGTTTTCCTGATGAAGGAGAAACGGGGGTTGTGCTCTTAGGAAGCCGCAGGCACGTGGGAAGGGTCTAGAATTGCAGGGCCATACCCATCCGGTCTGAGCCAGCAGTCCCCTGCCAGCCTGTACTGAGGGAAAATGAACCTCCTGCAAGGTGTAAGGCTCTTGGCCAGGCTCTCGGCTCCAGGCAGTGCAGGCCCTCCCAGTTCACAGGGCTCTAGGCTGAACGTGGCCCCCCAGATTCACAAGTGGAAGCCCTAACCCCCAGTGTGATGGTAGCTGAGACAGGGCATTTGGGAGGTAATTGGGTTTGGATGAGGTCATGAGGGTGGGGCCCCCATGACGGGATCAGTGCCCTCCTAAGAGACACCAGAGCTCCCCCTCTGTCCACATGACACGGCAAGAAGGTGGCTGTCTGTGGGCCGGGAAGTGGGTCCTTCCAGAGCCCGACCATGCTGGCTCCCTGATCTCAGTCTTCCAGCCTCCAGAAACAAACTTCTGCTGTTTAAGTACCCAGTCTTTGGTATTTTGTTATGGCAGCCAGAGCTGAGTAAAAGACACAGGTAATGTCCTAGTGAAACAAGGTGTGGGTGGAAAGGGTACATCAATACAGGGAGAATGGTCACCTAGGGATGGAGGGTGGGAAGGAAAGGTGTGCAACTCAGTCTCATCTCTAAACTTTTACTTAAAAAATCCATTACACACAGCAATATATTAACCATTTACTCAGGATGTTGGTACATGGGTTTTGTCACTGTGTTCTGAGTACTTGAAATATTTTATCTAAAAAAGTCACTGTCCAAGGCCAAGTTATAAGGGGGGAATTTATACTTGGAGATCATTCAAATTCCACCAGAGAGAGATGCTAGAACCAGTGAATTGCCAGAGCTCCCTACGTTCCCGGTGTCTACCTTGGCCCATTCCAGTACAAGCCAATAAGCCCTCTGTACCTTATGGTGACCTAGATGAGAAACTGTCTCTACAAGTGAAAAAAACAAAAACAAGAATTAAAAAATTTAAATGTTATATGTATCAAAAATATAGACAAAATTAAAGGGCATAGAAATTAAAACGATCAAAAAACCAAAAAAAAAAAAGTCACTGTGATATCCTATTATAAACAGCTCCAATAAAAATCATGAGGTGTCATGGGTGCTGTGTCATGGGTGCTGAGTGGCTACAAGTATGTTTTGGGACCATCACAGGACTGTTTATGTTTTCATCTAAAAATATTAGGAATTACTTTTATGGGTTAAGTTGTACAATGGTTCAATTTGCTACCTCCTATTATGGAAGATATCAAGTCCCATGGGTCTGAATTTAAAAGACAAAGCAGTGGTATTTTCCTTTCAGGATCACTTTCAGGATCAGTACCCAGGGCTTAAACTTAGGTTTCATAGCAAACGATTTCTCTAAGGAAATAGGAAATGTAAGGGAGGATTCTCTGGTCACCACGTCTAAATGTAACAAAGAAAACATGAGAAAAATCGGCCTATAAAGAATAACATTAAAATTTTTAATTGGTCAACTTTATTCAAATAATTTCCAAGAACCCAGAGAGTCATCTCGACAGAACCAATTTCATAGAAATTTGCTTTGAAGGGCAGATAAGCAAAGCAAGTTGTCACATATTCTTGAGAATTGAAAAAAATACACAAAAATCAGAGAGGAAAGAGGGATAACTTGGCAATAGATTTTCAGAATAACTTGGCAATAGATTTTCAGCTTTGAGGTTTTCTAACACGAAATCACTTTTCTCTTCCATCCTGAAAGCTGTGTTTTTCTTTCCTCTTAAAAAAAGAAAAAAAAAAAAAGGATTTCAGTAAAATTCCATTATAATTCCCATTGCCTGCCCCCAAAAGCTTAACTGTTGTATTCAACTCCATCGAATATATATAAATATTTGAGTAATTATAGAGAATGCTGTGATGCTTAATAAATACCCAACGGAACATAAAGAAAAAAAAAAGTAACGGTAAACCCTCAGGCAGGCAGTGCAAACTATTGGTTGAGGCCACGGGCTTTTGAATCCTGGCCCAGCCATGCACTGCCTGTGTGGATTCAGCAGTTAAGACTACATTTCCTTATTTATAAGAAGAGCTAGCACTGCCTATTGGACAGAACCTATCTAATCAAAGTGTTCACATGGGGATTAAGGAAGGAAGGTGTGAAAAAGAGTTAACACGGCCTGGAGCACAGAGGGCACTCAGAGGTTAGCCCTTAAAATTCCTTGCGTTCACAGCTCATGCAGATTCGGTCCCTTTCCTCAAGAAATTTATAATGTTAAGTAGAGAAAGAAAAGAAAATACAGAAAAATGGTTAAGTATGTTTATATTGTAGTTCCAGAAGGAGCCGGCCAAACCAAACTCAGTCAGATCCCATCAGCCAGGGGACAAGTGACATGGACTCGGGATACATCACCCAAATCCCTGCGTGCGACACGCTGAAATGCATGCTGGGAAAGCTGGCACCCACGTGAGAAAATTTAACCACTCAGGGCGGCTTGCCTCTGGAGAAGATACAATGGTGCATGCAGGGTAAACCTTCAGCTTAAGGCACCTGCACAAGCTAAACCGTGGCCAAGGCTGGGGAGCAGATGGGCTTCAGTGGGGAGGACAGGAGACCGTGGGCCGAGCAGCAGCGTGTGGTCCGGCCCCTCACGTGTGTGGGATGCTGCTGGGGGTTCTCCAAGGGCTGACTCCTGCTCTGTCCCCAGGAGGGATCCAGAAGGGGTCAGAGTCGTCAATTCTGGATCAGTTTTGCCTGCCACAGCTACGTTCTGAGTGTGAGGTGAAGAGGCTGGAAGTGACAGTTTGACAAGGATGGGATAGAGTGTCTTAAGGGAAGCTTTTTAGAAACATCCCCTAAGTGCATTCCAATAGAAAATGTGTAAAAATGCTGATTTTAGAGGAAGGAAAAGAATTTGGGAGAAAGTTCGGAAAATTAACACCTAAGGATCCTGTTGCAAAACGCCCACATTCGACAGACAGAAACGTACCTTCTCTTCCCAGGTGGCCTATACAGAGCCAGCCTCTTCCCCAGGCCTTGGGATGGCTCTGCCCACAGGTGAGAAATCCCAGGGTCCAGCCCACCGTCTGCACACCTGAGGGTCTGATAACCGGCGTCGTTTTGTGGGGACTTGATGGCCCCAGCTGGCATCGAGAGCAAAACCTGTAGATGGAGGGGCCCTAATTGTGCTTGAGCCGAGGGGACTTTTAATGTTCTGCTGGGGTGATGATGACAAGTTTGGGGGGCCCTGGGAGCCAGAGTCTGGATGGAATTTTCCTGAGAAGTCTTCTTTTTGATACTGAACTCCCACACTTGCTTTATCTGGAGATGCTCTGGTACATGAAGGCACCTGCATCTGCTGAAGCGATTTTTGGCAATACTTTCGATGAAGCTTGTCAAATTTTTCTTTAATGTCATCGTAACGATCCCTGGCACAGCCTGGAGGTTGTACCCTGGGTACTGAAATGGCTTTGTTGAGTGATACCGACTTCCTAAATCCTCCCGGATCATTTCCTTGGCAAGCAAGGTCAGAGGTCTGCTCCGAGCGGCCCGGGCTACATGTGGAGTTGGTCTTTGAAAGCGAAGGGAAGGAGTCACTCTTTGGTAAGCAGCTACCCTCTCTGATAGATCCTTTGCCCAGGCTTTCAAAAGCCTCACTCAACCTCTTGGCTTTTGCTCTGCGGAGAGGGCTACTTGGCCTGTGGGCTTCTATGCCCTGGGGGCTCCCAGGGCTTGCTGGACCACCTCTGTACACATCCACAGCCGAGGAGCCGGGAAGGTAAGTCAGGCAGGGCTGTTTCCTAAGATTCGAGCAATATTCCTGATGAAGCTTGTCAAATCTGATTTCGATCTCCCTATAACGATTCCCTCCCTCGCCCGGCAGTACTCTGGGTCTAGAACCTATTTTTACAGGAGAAATCAACCACTTTAATGTCATGAATCTATTTTCCTGATCAAGATGATACACTGCATTGGAGTCTAAGTAAGTCAACGAAGAATGATGCTTCTGAGGCGTTCTCGGAAGCTCCTTCCAATGTGAAGTGAATGCGTGGATCTGGGGTTGGTTTACTTCAAGAAAAGCCCTTCGCAAGTTTAAACCCGTCTTATGGCCAGAAACATCGAGTACGTTCTCGCAATCTCTTAACACTGCCACGTCCTTCGCAGGTTCGGAGCCGGGTGGCCGTCCCTCCCGGGGGCTCCTCCGAGAGCGCCCGCCTCCTCTGCAGCCCGTTCTATCCATTCTGCTCTTACACCTCTGCCTCCGCTTGGAGCTCCAATTCTGGCGGATGAACGTCTTGGTGGAGATGACGCAGGAGGGCCTCACACCCAGCAGGCAGCTCATGGAGTGCAGCATGCCCGCGTACAGATCGCTGAGTGTCGCGTTGCAGATGTCCTCAGCCTCAGAGCATGGGCTGCTTGAGAAGCTGCTGCCACTGGTCCCTCCCTGTAAGGAGATGCCATCACCCCTCGGCACCAGGGCCAGGCCTGCTGAGCTAGAGCACAAAGCATCACCCTCTCTGGGCAATGAAGTTGGCTGAAATGGGCCACCGGGGCTCTCTTCAGAGTTGCCACCGTAGCATCCTGGAGAAACACACACACAAGGCAAAGGCACGTTAACCATTTAAAACCGACCACATGCAGAGATCAGGGAACCGAGGGCTGGATGGGGACCAGGGATTTTATTTTTTTTTTAATTATTATTTTTAATTGAGATGTAACTGACACATAACATTATGTTAGTTTCAGGAGTATAACATAACATTGTGATTTCTTTTTAAGCAATACGAAAAACAAAAGCAAAAGAAAAATGCACAAATATTTGGGAATAGACTCTTCTCAGAGATTTCTTTCTAGCTACCAAAACCATTTACTCTCCACTGACCTTCCTAAAAGGAGTCCTCCTTCCCTGTGTGATGGTTTGGAAATTGGCTGCCTTGTCAAAGATTAATTAGAAACCAGAAAGTAATGACCCTGTTTGCCTACAGGGCTCGGCGGGGAAAGGGAGAAGAGACTCCTGAACACACCTCTTCACACGGCTTTGACTTTTGCATCATGTTAAATGTTTTACATATTAGAAAAATAAAATTAAACCAACAAAGATGGGGATAACTCTAAAACTGAATAGAGACAGGGAACATGACCCTGACTGTATGTCAGACTGACAACAACCAAAAGAGAAAATAGAATCCAAATAACTCTGAACGTGCTCCCTCAGTGGGATATTATCTGAGGATGACAACGCTGCTTGGAGATCTGGAAACTTCTTCAGCACATTGTTGAGCAGAGTGGTACCAGGTGCTGTGATTCAGAGGCTACTTTGTGCTGCACGACTGGCCAAAAGAGCCTTGTTGTTAAGAAGGAGCCAGCAGGGGCTGGGGGAAAACTCTGGAATCAGGGTGGGGGATGAAGAGCTCAAAACCCCACAGGGACAGGTCGGAGGACACAGAAGCCAGCACAGAAGGGGCTCCTCCAGGCTTAACGGGTGATGAAAACTGACAACAGATTTTTTTGTGAATTAAAAAAAAAAAAAGAGTCCATGAGTTCTTACTGATTCTGGAAAAGTTAAATAAAGAAAAAGCATGTTGGGGAGGAATAAGGGAAGGGAAAAAAAGAAATGGAAGGGAGACAGCTCAGCCTTCTTTATACAAGAATGCCAACGAATGCAGGCAGGGGGAATGGCAGAACCAGAAAAGGCCTGTGTTCGGCCCCAGCTCAGGCAACGGTCATGGCGAGATGCTAAAAACCATGGGGTGCGAGGGTTCTGGGGAAAAGGCTACCAGGCAACTTCAAGGGGTCATCCACAGATGATTCCAAGGATAAAAGGCACTTCTGCAGTGAGAAATCTGGTGGGGCCTCTGCCTCAACTGTGCTACCAGACTCAAGTCACCAACAATGGGACAGGCTGACAGGACGTCCCGAGAGGACAAAAGTGTCACCTGTGTAGTATTTTTGCGAAAAACGTTTAACATAAACTTAACCACACGTAAGTCCAAACTGAAGGACATTCTGCAAATCTACTGGAGGCCAGGATTATTCGAGAAAGTCAGTGATGGCAAAGATGACGATGGCGACAAGGGCAAGGCCGAGGGGCCCTGCTGGACTGAAGGAGACACAGTCAGCAGGACACGTGGTGCCCCAGTGCGTCCTGAGCTGGTTCAACAAACAAAAAAGGCTGCAAAGGACAACGATGGCACGACTGGGTAAAACCGTATTGTGACACTGTGACATTTCAACATGTGCCAAGTTTAATGTGGTTCTGAGGGGACTCAGCCTGTTCTTCGGAGACACTGGAGCATTTAGGGATGGTATATACATGAACGCAAATACATACACACACGTGTACGTGTGTGTATGTCGGGAGTGATAGAGCAAACGTGACAAAATGTGAATTGCTAAATGTAGGTAAAGGATGTTTATCGTATGAGTCCTACATTTCTGGAGACTCAAAAATTTTCAAAATACTAAGTTGGGATAAAGAGCTAATTAGCAATTAGCATGCGAGTCCCAGAAGGAAAGCACTTTGTTTCTTAACACGTAGTAATTTACCTATGACGTGCACGTGTCTCTCTCACAGTTCGTGGTGATGAAACGTGCCCAGCTCAGGGCGCCGTGGCTCAACCACAAGTGAATGGTCCGTGCAAAGTTTCTACGTCACACTCACCTTGGGCAGGCCTGGCGGGCGAGGCCAATGAAGGGACCAGGGTCACACGGGTGTCCTTCCCCTCTCCGTAACTGGCACACTGAAATCAAAGCAGATGACTTTAACAAAGGAGTTGTCAGGTGTCGGCTCGGGCTTCCTGCCCCAACTCCTCTCCCAACCACTGACGGTGCATCCATTTGCGGCTGCAGTGGTGACACGTGCGACCATGATGACAGCGGCCGGCTGGGCCTCCAGCAGTGGTGAGAAGAGCTGTCTTAGCAAGATCCAGGAGCTCTGCCCCCATGGCCTCCAGGTACCGCCCCCTGCCCCTCAAGGGCCACCACTGCCCCACGTCTGCCAGAATCTCTCTCGGGAGGTCTGGCGGCTTTTCCTCCTCCGCCGTTATCCTCTGACAGCAAGGACGGCCAGTCCAGGTAGATGGAGGGAAGGAGAACCCGTCGCTAGGACAACGGAGCTGGTCCCGGCCCTGGCCTCCTTCCCTGACCGGCAGGGCGACCAAAAGGCCACGCTTACTGCTTCCAGACTAAGGAAAAAGGCATTTCCCGTACATCCACTCGTTCAGATACAGGCTTCTCACTGTCAGCAGCAGCATAAGAAAATATCCACGCTCCTGTTAAGCTGGCTGCCTCTGAGATGAATTATTTATTCCAGAACACATACTTCCTAGTTATTTGGTATTAAAATGTCCTTTGGGGGCTTCCCTGGTGGCGCAGTCATTGAGAGTCTGCCTGCCAATGCAGAGGACATGGGTTCGAGCCCTGGTCTGGGAGGATCCCACATGCCATGGGGCAACTGGGCCCGTGAGCCACAACTACTGAGCCTGCGCGTCCGGAGACTGTGCTCCGCAACAAGAGAGGCCGCGATAGTGAGAGGCCCGTGCACCACGATGAAGAGTGGCCTCCGCTCGCCACAACTAGAGAAAGCCCTCGCACAGAAACGAAGACCCATCACAGCCAAAAAATAAATAAATAAATAAATGAATGAAAAAAAGTCCTCTGTTTTAGGAGATGAGACTGACAGAACTTGGAAAACTACAGAGTTGGCATCCTTGCGTGAACTCCACCTTTAGCCTTTTGCTCTCCTGCAGGCAAAGCTCCAGGAAACTGGCTGCCAGGCCTGGGAGAGGGGCTGATGAGCTGCCCACCTCCCACGGGGTCCACCACAGCCCCCGATCTCGCCAACATCACAGCCTAAGCAGGCAGAACAGGCGCCCTGCGGCCCGTGGCAGCTCCGGTCACGGCAGGGGAGGGAGGTGGGCGCTCCAGCTTCCCTAATTCTGCGGCTTAAAAGCCCTCTGCCTGAGGGTGGGGGCCCTACTACATCCTGTGAGCTGCCCAGAGCATAGCGGGCAGCCGATCCCGCT